GAAAAAAACCGCCTCAAACTGTTGCTCATTCTGTTGCAACCTCAATGGGCGTGCCGGAATCGTGTGAACCAGGTGTTAATGAAAGCTGATGTAATGGTCTCGGCTGCATACAATGTCTTGTATAGGTGTCGCTTCCAGCCAGCAGGTAAGCCGATCCACAATAGTGAGGAGGTATCGATAGCCTTAGCAGGGTAGTAGACGTCCAACAAGGCCGATATGAACATTTTCAAAACAGCTGGCATAGGGCAAAAGTTTCTCAAGTAGTTATGGTATGCCAGTGCAGTTTCACTTACTATCAGCGTAAACACGCTCCTAGCTGTAAAACTTGGCATAGGCTTCAGCTCGACACCTCTGTGCAACACGGACAGATTTTAGGCACCATGCTGAATGTAGCCTGCCTTTAAAGTTCCAAGGAAAGTGGTGAAATGAGATGCGCCCTCTTTAGCTGGAAAGACCCTAGACCAGCTATGTGCCTACTGAGTCAAACAAGTAATCCTCAGAAATAAACCCTCGGGACAATTCTACGGTGACGGGTAAAACTAACTTTAGCATGGAAGGAGAGGGGGGCACCGGGTAAAACTAACTTAACCATGGAAGGAGAGGGGGGCACCAGAGTGGGGCTTTGTGTCAACCTCAACAAGGAGTTCGCCCTACGCCAACTTTTTCATTTGAGTTTCGTTCATATATAGTCAAGGATGGGCTCACCATGTAGTACATCACCAATAGTAAAATACAAACGTCTCAAGCACCTAAGTTACCCGTCAGCCCATATCGAGCTACTTCACTTACCGGGGCACCCCCCCTCTCCCTTTTTGCCCCCCCCCCCCGCCCCCCCCCTGGCTCCGCCCCCCCTCCGTTCACCGCCCGATCAGCAGCGCCAATACCCTTCACTCAGGAGCGCGGTCATACACGTCGTAGTTGAACGCAGTCAAGAGGGTGACGGCGAGGCAGGCGAAACGAACGACCCAGTCGACGCAAAGCCTTCACGTGCACGCGAGCTGCAAACTCATATGCTTGAGCTCAGTTCACCCACTCTACGCCACACCAGCTGGAGGTATCGAACGACCTGCGCACCGCTCGAGTTTCCACCACCTCACCGACGCGTCTGACCGCAGACACCGCGCTGCACCAGCACCTGCTGCACTCGACGAATTGACGCTCGACGGACTTTGCCAACGCCACGGACGCGCCGACGCCAGACCGCCACCGACCGCCAGACCAGCCAGGCGCTTGCCGTTGCCGCGCTAGCAGAGCCGAAGGCGCGGCGCGCCCAGCTTCCGCCAAGTGACGTCATAGGATATTGATATAATGAGACAAACTAATTTACAATATGTTTACCATGCCTTAGACTTTATAGCACCGCTTTTTTACATAAAATAGTAGCTCAATAGCCTTATTTTATTTATACCACGTGACCTTTTAATTTCAAAAGTGCATAAAAATAGAGTATAAATATATTTGTGGGCTATATAAGTTTATAATATTGCTGAATATATAATATTAAAGTAATCTTATATTAGTTTTATAAGTCACGTGGTTTTATACGTCACTTCCGGTGTTGAAGGAGTCTTATCTGTGTGGATGCGGCTCCAGCGACGGCCGTCCGAGGAGCCACTGCCAAAAATTATTCTTACCCTGGTGACTCCTAATGCAGGAAGTGAAGTCGGCTGTGTCCACCAGCAGCGTCTATTTGATATGTATTAAAAATTCTCAGCAAATGAAATAGAACACAGTAGCCAGATGGCGCAAGTCATCGTTTATTTCGATGAGTTGTAACACTTGATAACTTATGTCCATAAGTAATGTAGGTCACTGTCGATTCTTCATCCTAGATAGGGGTGTCGTGAATAGGGGTGTCGCGAACTTTTGTCGACCCAGATTTTTTGGTCGAACTTCCGGGGTTCGACGAACCTTCGAACTTTTCACCAGATTCGACCGGTTCGACTTTATGCACAGTGTGGCCAGACCTTAATACAAGCATGTCTAGGTTTGGAGAATGTTTTTTGATGCAAGGGGTTATTTTATTTTGTGAACAGCTGCAATTAAAAGAAACTAATTCTAATCACTGAAGAAGTTAATAACTTAATTTTTAGTACTGTATTGACTGAAATAGCCAATCAGCGCTGCACTTAATTCATCTCTTAGCCATTACCATCCAATCCGAAGCCAACTGGCCAGCCTGTCGCGCATGCGCACACGAGTCGAACCTCAATACAAGGTTCGTCGAATTTTCCACTAGAGGTCGAAAAAGTCGAATCTGGTTGAGCCTCCCTACTGGTCGAACTCGAACCTCGGCCGGTTCGCGACACCCCTAATTTGAACGAACGCTGTGGTCGGCGAGCGGCTTGATTACAGTGGCTGGTTCTGCTTTTGGTGGTGTTTTGATACTGCACGAATTTGTGATCCTTAAATATCTTTTGTCAAGGCCCTGGATGGACTGACATCTTTCCTCACCTGTTGATTTCTCATAAGAAACAAAGCAAGGTATGTTACCGTAGTTTGCATCGCTGGACTGTTTCCGTCAGTAAACGGTAAACATTTCACTTTGAAAATTATTTTATCATGGACCGCGCCCTCCTGGGGACTTGCTGAGTTAAAAATAGGACGATCTTTCTCTGTTTCTGCTTCCCTGTAGTGCGAGTTGAATGATCATGGAGGTAGGAAGCTTGTGGAGGCGGCATCTCCCGTCACCTCTACAGAATCGGAGAACTTCCTAGAGCGGATGCATCAGCTTCAATACAGGCCAAAATTGGGAGTGCAGGAGTGCAGTGAATGATGGAAATAGATAAAAAAAAAAAAAAAAAAAAGATAAGAATGCGGTAAAAAGGTATTGGGAGCACATTAAAGCGGAGGGGAGGAGGAAGACAGAGGGTTTCCAACACTTACTGACCAAACAGGCGGGGAGAAGGGTAGAGGGGAAAGAGGCACGATCGAAGAGGCTTTCTCCCAGCTTGAGCAGGGGGGGACAGTGAATAGCAAGGTCATCAGCAGCGTAGAGGAGGAACAGAATTGTGTAACGATGGAGGTGACTACAAAAGAATGGAACAAGGCAGAAAGTAAGGTTCCAGCAGGTACAGCGACAGGCCCAGACGACATACCCATGGAACTCATAAAGACTAGGGATGTCGCAAACCACATTAGGTTCGATATCGAAGGTTTCGATATTTTCGAAGCGAACTGAGGTTCGCAATTGAAAAATTTCAATATTTTTGTACCAACCGAGGTTCGAATTCGACGAATTCGCAACTTTCAATCATAGTAGAGTTTCGAATTAAAAAAGTTAGAAGCTTTCACGGTTTCTAAAATTTCGGGTTTGAATATTTCGAATCATTTTTTACTTGAAGGTCGATAAATTCAAAGATTTCGAACTTTCCTAACTTAAAATCGAGATATTAAAAATTTTTTTAATTTCTTGGGATCTGAAGTTCAAAAAATTCGAAGATTTCGAAATTCTTTGAATATAAAATTCCAACGCTTCGAATTTTTATAGACATAAAGTGTGAAAAATCGAAGATTTTGAATTTCTTTCTACATTAAGTTCGGAAGGTTTGAAGGTTTCGATTCTCTTTTAACACTAAATTCGAAAGAAAAAAAAAAACTTAGAACATTTTGGATTTCTTTTAGGTCCAAGTTTTCAATGTTTGAAGTCCGGTTTCCATGTTCCTCCACAGTTTCAGTTTCAAATAATGTTTTCACGGCTCATTGGTTTTCACGAAATCAGGATTAGAAAGGTTAGGGTGTGATATTTAGACTCCGCGAAGTTGGTCAGGCAATTAAATGAGACGACGAGTGTCCCAGATGTGCTGGAATATTTGCCAGTGCAGAGTGACATGCGACCATAGATCAGTAAATATGATTGCCAGCCCGGGGGGTGTCTTCAACGTGCATCACACAGTAGTGATCACACGAATGCGCTGTTTTACGATACTCATCCAGTTCGAAACGGCAGGGTCGGGCAGGAGGTTGAGGCTCAGAAACACCTTGAAGCGACCTGGCAAACTACCTCCCCACCCCTTGCATGATGGTAGTTATCCGATCGAATGCCGCCCGAGTGATGCTGGCATATAGTAAGTTGAGTTTGTAGTTTATTTATATGTAGTGATGCTGGCATATAGTAAGTTGAGTTTGTAGAAATTATTTATGCATATGTATAGCTACTGTCGCTTTTCACTGCATAAAAGATAGCGTTGGTGGTCATTGTCGTAAACTTGTTGTCGGAAGGCACTACTTGTAACATGCTTATTGGTTCGGAAGTTCAAAGCTATGTCTTTTCAACCTTAATAACTGTGCCATTAATAAAAAAAAAAATAAACATAACAATAAATGCAAAAATAAAAAGCTGGAGAAAAAAAAAAAAAAAAACCTATCAAGAATTGGCCGGAAGTGTTGTATTCTTGCATATTCAGAGGCTCAGAACTTCGAAACAAGTTTCTCCTACCAAAATGTGTACAGGCTAAAAGAAACGTCCCAAGAACGTGAAGGGAGAAAAAAAAAATGTTTTTTTTTTAATGACGTGCTGAACTCAAACAATATTAGAAATCTTCTCCCATGAGTTAATTTATTTCTAAATGTGAAAAAACAACAAATATTCTGCAGATGGCAAGAATATGTACTGTCTGTGGTTTTAATTTAAATGCGATACCTCAAACAACTTAGACAAAAAAAAAAAAAATACCAAGTTTAGGGCATAATTGTCCGTAGATACATGTTTGGACATTTCTTCGAAACTCATCTTGAATAACAATAATCACATCTTACGACACTTACCTAGGCTATACATAGATCATTTTTAAAAAGTTTTAATATCTCTATCATAAATAGCTTCGGCTATAGCATGCTTCAAATATGGCACAAACGACAATCGTCAAGAACCCGTCGTCCTTTTTCGCCCCTTCGGGTA